TAGGTTAATATACTTGAGCTCTTGTGGATTCTCATCAATTAGAAAGTAAGTTTCATTTTCACTATATTTTTATAATCGTATAGTTAAATATTAATTTTTTTATTAAATAAAAAATCAATCATTTGTGTATGATAAATTTTGTTGATGATTAAATTTAACATATTTATATATATGTATGTATATATATGATAAATTAGGATTTTAACCAACTAGAAAATATGTGAAAGATATCATAATTATTTTGAAACTAATCATGTTATTAATTTTATTTTATTGATTTAATAAGATTATGGAGGATTGTAGTTGGATGTATAGGCGTCGAACTCCACGAGGAGAGATATATAATGAGTTCTATAGTGGAGTTGAATATTTCCTTCAATTTGCATACAATAGCTCTGGTCTTCAACTGAATGATTTAATCAGATGTCTTTGTACTAAATGTTTTAATTTACCGTTGATGACTCAGGAAATGGTATGGGACCATCTTACTAAGTATGATTTTATGAATGCTTATTCTGTTTGGTGGGCACATGGTGAGACATTTGTGGATTCAGTAGATCCATGGGCTGCTACTAATCTAGGAGAATCATCACATAGCCAAGATACACACCATGATGAAAGGAATGACTTTCGTGAAATGGTGTATGATGCATTTTGTCCAGAGGATGATGAGAATCGAGAAATGGAAGGTAATTTCCCCAATCAACATCTGGATGAGGAACCAAACAATCAAGTAAAGGCATTTTATGACTTGCTTCATGCATCTACAATTCCCCTTGGTAGTGCTAAAAGAAATGAGATAGTGCTTAGCTGGCTTTCTTATATGTTGCATACAAAGATTGCAAATAATATAACTGCTAATGGTTTTAATGCCATTCTCAAAGGATGTAGAAGGTTGTTAAGTGCTGAAGATCAAGAAAAAGTTCCTTCAAACTTTTATGAAGTAAAAAAATATATGAAGGGGCTTGGGTTAGGTTATCTAAAAATTGGTGCTTGTGTTAATAATTGCTTTTTATACTATGGGGAGCATACGAAAACATTGACTACATGCCCAATCTGTGGAGAAGCGAGGTATAAACAGAGAAATCCAGGGAGGAATAGACAAAAGGACATTTCGAGGAATTCTCTTTGGTACTTGCCAATAATACCTCGCCTTCAGAGGCTATACATGTCTCGAAAATAGCTGAGCACATGACATGGCATTTAAAAGAGAACCTCGTAATGTTCGATTATGTCTTGCTACTGATGGTTTCAACCCATGGGCTCATTCTTCAACCTCCTACTCTTGTTGGCCAGTTTTTTTAATTGTTTATAATTTACCACCAGAGATGTGCATGCGACTAGAGTTTACTTTTCTTACATTAGTCATTGCTGGTCCAAAAAGCCCAGGCAAAAATATTGATGTTTTCCTTCGACCTTTAATTGAAGACTTGAAAATGTTATGGTCGACTGGTGTAGAAATATATGATAGTTATCGTAAGCAAAACTTTATAATGCAGGCTATGTTAATGTGGACCATAACTAATTTTCTGAGTTATGGTATGGTGGTTGGTTGGGGCACTCATGGCCAATTGCCATGTCCTTACTGTATGGAGATGACACAATCTTTTTATCTTCAAAATGGTCGGAAACCATGTTTTTTTGATTGTCATCGTCAGTTTTTACCAGAATCACATTGTTTTAGATTTGATCAGAGTAATTTCTTGAAGGGTCGGGTTGAATTAGGTAGTCCCCCTCCTTGATTAGATGGTGTTTCAATGCGTCACCAAGTTGAAAACCTTCCTGATGTGTTGTTTGGGAAACCCTTTGAAAACCAAACAATTGAGGGTTTTGGGAACATCCATAATTGGGTGAAAAGGTGCATTTTTTGGGAACTTCCTTATTGGCATGATAATCTTATTCGACATAATCTTGATGTAATGCACTGTGAGAAAAATTTCTTTGATAATATAATACACACTGTTATTAATGACAACAAGACAAAAGACAATGGGAAAGCAAGATTGGATTTAGTCATTTATTGTGACCGAAGAAAACTGCACATAGGATATAATACGCATGGTAAGCTTGTGGAACCTAATGCTAGTTATGCACTGACATCTGAAAAACAAAAGCTTCTATGTGCATGACTAAAACAGTTGCGCTTTCCAGATGGGTTTGCTTCCAACATATCAAGATGTGTCAACTTGAATGAGTCTAGGTTATTTGGGATGAAAAGTTATGATTGTCATGTTTTCATGCAACAACTAATTCCAGTTGCTTTTCGTGGTTTATTGCCATCTACTATTTGGGGTCCTTTGACTGATATTAGTAACTTCTTTCGTTCACTTTGTTCCCCGGTCATTAAAGTTACTGAGATGCAGAAGTGGGAGGCAAAGATTGTTGAAATAATTTGTAAGTTAGAAATAATATTCCCCCCAGCATTCTTTGATTCTATGGAACATCTAGCAATTCATCTTTCATATGAGGCCAGAGTTGGTGGTCCTGTTCAATTTCGTTGGATGTACCCATTTGAAAGGTAAAACATACAAAGAAATTGATTGATAATTTTAAAACTTACTTTTGATTACTTTTTTGTAAATTAATCTTATCAGTATTTCTTTTCAAGCGCATGCGCAAACTTAAGAGTACCATAAGGAATAAAAATCATGTCGAGGCATCAATTGTTGAGGCATTTATATCATACGAGATATCCCACTTTTGCTCTCGTTATTTTGGGGATGATGTTAAGACAAGCTGGAATCAGCCTCCAAGAAACTATGGTGGCATTGGAACCAACATCCCAGGTAAGTTATCCGTATTTTGTTCCCTTGGTGAATCAATAGGGGCCCACTCACGTACACGATGTTTAACATTGGAGGAGGAAGATGCAGCTGAACTATATGTCTTGCTAAATTGCAAGGAGGTTGATGTTTGGGTAACGTAAGTTTTACTTCTTAGGAAAATAAGAACTACACAATGTTTAATAGCCTATATGATTTTCATAACGTTTTAATTAATAAATAAATGTTATTTTACAGTAAATTTGAGGAAGAAGTTGGTGCAAATTTGTCACATGAACAACTACAAAGATCGCGAATTCAATGGTTTAAAAATATGGTAATTAATTGTTATATATTATTTTCTCAAAATTTTAATTAAATATTAAATATTACTAAATTAATTTTTTTTCAAATATAGGTGTTTAGTGGACAATATGAAATCAA